ATGGTTATATGGAGGTCGCTGTCATTTTTTTAAATGGAACTCCCTATTGTTTATTATACTATCTTATTCTACTAAATAATATGAACAACTTTTGTCTGAAACATTTTTTTATTTGCCTACTACTTTTTGAGATATTCAAGAGAAAAGTTATAACTTTTTACATGTTTAGCTTATAATACTTCGATAACTGTTTGTCGGAGGGAAAAGTAGTACAGGACTTTTTTACTTGATTTAATCTCAGGAATATGCTATTGCAATGGTTTATGTATTGTAACACATAAAATTTACATACACAAAAATGTTCAATAATTGAAACACCATTGCAACAGCATATTCCTGAGACTAAATCAAGTAAAAAAGTCCTGTGCTACTTTTCCCTCCGACAAACAGTTATTGAGATATTATAAGCTAAACATGTAAAAAGTTATAAATTTTGTCTTGAATGTCTCAAAAAGTATTAGGCAAATCAAAAAATGTTTCAGACAAAAGTTGTTTACATTAATTAGTAGAATAAGATAGTATAATAAACAATAGGGAGTTCCATTTAAAAAAATGACAGCGACCTCCATATAACCATAAAAGATTTATTTTTTCGAAAATTTATTTTTTCATTATATAGCCCTTTTAAAACCGTATAACTTTTGCCTGAAACATTTTTCTCTAAAATGTTCTATTTCCGAAATAAAGGGGCTGTACGGGTGGTCTGAATCACCCTGTATTATACAATGCTAAACGACGAAATATTTGCATATGTATAAAAAATATAAATGAGATGATACATATATTGTGTTGTCAAATCTGGTAACATTCAAAATGTCAACATATACATATGTCATGTTTGAAATAAATACAGTAGGTATATAGCGAGGGAACCAACTAATATTTCGAGATAGAGAAAAATTCTATTCAATTCTTATTTAACATAATCGAAAGAGTTAAATAAATATAAATTTAAAGCCCAAATAAGTTAGACGGCAAGAATCAATATCACTCATTTACTTCTTCATAGAATGTACAAGCCAGAAGTAAAATTTAGTTTTTTTCCTTGTTTCGCATTCACAATAATTTAGCATTCAATTTCGCAAAAAAATAGCTATATTAAATAGATATAGTAAAAACAATTAAGACTTGGAGATTTAAATAATCAAGGATTCAGAGACAATTAGTTTATCTTTCACACGAATATGTAATTTGATATATTGTGTCAAAATGTATTACACCGTCTGATTGTATTTAGTAAGGGCCAGTTTCACAAACGTCGTTTAACCGCTAACCCATGGTTAATTGATCCTCTGTCTCTTCTTGGATAACAAGATAGAGAAAGATAGGAAGTCGATTGAACTCTGGTTAACAGTTAACCGACGTTTGTGAAACTGGACCTAAGAAACACATATTAAACTAAGCATTGATTCGAAAACATTTTGTCTCTACGTAATTCAGCACCAATCGCGTTACGAATCAATATTTTTGCAAAAGATATCACAAATATGATTTTATATGTGGCTGAATGATGCCGCAAGTCGGATTTCGAACCGAGATAAGTGAACAGATGTAAGAAGCAAAAATACTTATGCTAAACTTTATGATAATTTGGTAACAATTAGCATACTTGCGAGAGAACTCGCAATAGTTTTGACCAAAAGTGAAAGGATTGAGGCTCAGTTTGATAATGTGACTTCTACATTATACACGAACTTTGCGTTGTAATACGTGTTGTTATATCTATACAAGTACATATTATAATACAGGTACAAGCGTTCAGGCATCCAGCTTCTTCTCATTCCGCTATAAAAAATTCGAAGGACAATTATTTCCAAAAACATGCTAAAGAAGACGTCAATCTTTATCGTTGCGATCGCCGTTCTGACTAGCGTACTGTACATGCCAAACAAGTACAATAATCTTTACGGCAATGATATAGAAGGATCAAGGTTAATAAATGTGCTCAGACTAGGTAAGGGAATCCTAGATTTCTGGACACAGAGTGAACGTTATTTAGCTCAACAAGTATCGGACACCACACCGCAATTCGGAGAGACGTTTGATTTCATAATAATTGGCGCTGGCACAGCTGGTGCGACTGTAGCCGCGAGATTGAGCGAAATTTCTCAAACTAACGTGCTACTAATCGAAGAAGGAAGCCATGAAAGACTGTACATGGATGTCCCGTTATTTGCTAGCTTTCTGCAAAGAATGAATTTCAATAAAAAGTATCGAACCAAGTCATCCGACAAGTACTGCCTGGGCACGGAAGGCAACAGTTGCGTTTGGTCAACAGCGAAAGTAGTTGGCGGTGGCAGCGCAGTAAATTTTATGATAGCAAGTAGAGGAGGCGTAGAGGACTACGATCGTTGGGCCGAGATGGGAAACGAGGGTTGGGCATATAAAGACGTTCTCAAATATTTCAAGAAACTAGAAACGATGCACATAACAGAGCTACAGTCGGATACTGCCTATCATGGAACCGACGGGCCGGTGCATATCACCCAACCATCGTTTCGCACGCCAGTGGCAGAGGCATTTCTCGAAGCGGTTAAGGAGCTGGGATATCCATCAATAGATTACAACGGAAAGAGCGAAATGGGATTCTCATATATGCAGGCTACGATCATGAACGGCACTCGCATGAGTAGCAATAGGGCGTATTTGAGCCCCGCGCGAGATCGCAATAATCTTCGCGTAAGTCTTGAGAGCACGGTCACAAAAGTGCTGATCGATCCTAGTACCAATCGTGCAATCGGCGTAGAGTTCGTCAAATATGGTCAAACTATACGTGTGTTTGCAAACAAAGAAGTGATTCTAAGTGCAGGCGCCATCGGAACACCTCAATTGATGATGCTATCCGGCATTGGACCGGCGAAACATCTTACCGAACTAGGGATAAGCGTCGTCCAAGATGCACCCGTCGGCGAGAATCTCATGGATCATGTATGTTTCTATGGATTGGCATGGGCGATAAACGCGTCTACAACTATGCATATCCATGACATGATTAACCCTATTAATCCATATGCAACGGACTTTTTAACAAAGCAAACGGGACCTTTGACGACGTCGGGCGGATGCGAGGTTATCGGTTTCGTCAATACCGGACAAGCAGAAAAACATGACGGTTTACCAGATATCGAACTATTGTTTTGTGGTGGTACATTTGCCGAAAATAATGTGTTTCAAAAAGCATTCCATTTCAAAGAAGATGTATGTCAGGAATGGGACAAATTTCTTCTCACGTATGGTTGGAGGAATGTGGTAATATTGTCAAAACCAAAAAGTCGTGGTAGAATAACGTTATTGGCCAATGACATTAATGTTAAACCAGAAATCGTGTCCAATTATTTCGAGCATCCAGACGATGTCAGGACGATGATCGCCGGTATTAGAACTGCATTAAGTATTGGCCAGACGAAGACAATGCAAGCACTTGATTCTCAGTTGGTGAATTGTACTTATACCGAATGCAACGACTACGTGTATGACTCTGATGCTTATTGGGAATGTGCGATAAGGACATTATCTTCCACGATCTTTCATTATTCTGGAACTTGCAAAATGGGGGCGAGAGGAGACCCGACCGCTGTCGTCGATCCTAAATTAAAGGTATTTACTTCAAACGCATTGCGATATTTACGATTACGAAGTATATGATAATTATGTGATGCGCAAATATAATAAGTAACGTGATTTGTAAGTTCGTATACAATCTATTGCAGGTGATTGGCATTCAAGGATTACGTGTAGTAGATGCATCCATCATGCCAGAAATTATATCGGCGCACATAAATATACCTATTTTTATGATCGCCGAGAAAGCCGCAGATATGATCAAAGACGAATGGGGTTACTTGGAAAGTCATGATGTTAATAAACTTCACGAAATGCAAAGGGAAATAGAAAAGTTTTCGGAACGAAATGATACAAATGGCACAACATGCGTGTAAAGTTACAATTCGTTCCACCAAATAGTTCATTTTTTTTATAGATTTCTGAATAAACTTGTTTGAGTGATTTTTTTTAAAGAAAATAAGGCAGATATGATCGAGGAAGAGTGGAATTGTTTAAAGAAAACACAATAAAAATATACTTTTATGGAGTAATTATTTTACTACTTTTTCTACTACCGCTTTTACTTTACGATTATGGTAATAGTACAAATACGTAAATTCGTGACATAATTCAAGGTACAGCTTTTGAAAACAAATTGAATTAAAAGAGTAAATCCAAGTATCGATCGATTTCTTTCAGAAATTTAGAAAATGCAAACGAGAGACAGCATTCAAGAAAATGGAAGAGCTATTAATTTTCATATTATTAATTAAAATTTTCAAAGGTTGAAAAGAATGGATGACGCGCCGCAAGTACAATCGAACCCCAACCTATCATGAAACCTATTCTCCATTATTTGTCAATACATCAAAAGAATCCAAATTAACTACTTAAATAAAATCATAACATTCGATTTTATTTTCAATTATTCATTGTTACGAGCTTGGTAAAAAATTCAGCAGAATATTACACTATTGAGCAGATTGCATTTTATAATTTAAAATACTTTGCAAATATAGATTTCAAAATTTTTTTTATTTGAAAATGTCTCTTCACTGTCACACTTTATTTATTTCGCTGTATATTGTGTTTATCTAACTTAAAACAAACGAACCATTATGAATACGAAATACATTAAAGCCTCGTCTACATAGAAGTCGTAGAGTCGTAGTCGTAAGAATAGTCGACTGTGATTGGTCAATTCTTATGTGTCTGACGAAATTGACCAATCGCAGTCGATTATTCTTACGACTACGACTTTACGACTTCTATGTAGACGAGGCTTAAGATACTGGCATGGCTATAAAAATAAGAATAATTGTGACATTAAGAGGATCCCTCAGCCTTTGATGGTGTGCGCCATCTAAACACGAAACGCAGCATACATGAGCACACGGACACACTACTACGATACATCACACCCATGCATAAACGCGAAAATTTCATACTAACTATACTCTTATTTTAAACCTCTAATCCCAATTTAGAGGGTTTCACAGTAATTCTACATGTCATCGAATCCTAGGAAACTCAGTTTCATGCGAGCACAAGTTGTAGAACTTTTATACGAAGCACAAGTATGACGGAGTGACAGTTCGCGTTTACAAGGTTATATGTGATCGATTATATGAATTTTGTAATTTTTACTCATTTTTGGTATAAAATTGGAGTTTCCTGGGATCATTAATGCATATACTGTAATTGTACGCAAGCATTTTTGATTCCATGAATTTAATACGACGAAAGGTTATAACTACGAAAATGGTAATTCTGTCGGTAATACAGACATGCTACGGGATCCTCTTAAGTAAACAACTTTATTTATTAATATTTAATTTGAATTTCTTACGATTTTGAAATAGCTGCTACCTTGACTTTTCCTTGTTAAACTTTAAACTGTAATTAATCTCTAAAACGTAAATTCTGCTATTATAAACAGCTGTCATCACAAAAGACGCATATTTTATCATTTCGATTATTTCGAGATTTAGACATTATTCTAGACATTACTCATTTCGATAAATCTTAAGGTGACTCCTGCGTAAATCAACCAAAAGTAGAAAAATCGAAGTTTAAGTATGTTGTAGTTGTAAAATTTATCTACCAGTACGCGAAATTTCAGAGCCGGTCGCCGGTGAAATAAAAGAAAAAAAAACAATGTTAAAGTTGTACTTTTTAACATCCCAGTAAACACCAAGTAACAGTTACATAACATGAATACTATAATTTCCTATAACGCCTATGTTATATTACATTTGCATTGCATTTGCATACTTTAACTTGCCAGACTGTTAAAATTAATGACTTACCATACTATTATACGAAGTAAAATCTGATTTTGAAACATTTCTCCTTAATCATTATTAGGAAAAAATGGTTCTTATACATGGAATAACCTACGTGTGTTAAGAAAACTGTACTATGATGATTCATAATGTTGCACAATTACAATACAAGAACTACGTAATTAAAGACTTAAAATAATGCTTAAAAAAACTTCAAAACTGAAAGAATATGACATTTTACGATGTATATGAATATTAAGTTTATCTTCCGAATCTGAGCCGTATAAATTCTTCACTCACGAAACGTCGGAATCAGACAGAATTTATGCAGCTTAAACCCAAAAGTTCAATTTAGTAAAAGAATTGATTTATCGCATTTATATGTGACTTTTAAAATTAGGAGATGCGATATTAGAAGAGCGGGATATTTAAATATTACTTCAACAATTTTTTTTTAATTGTTGAACTTTCCCCTCCCCAAATATTACGAGGTTACGCAATAGCATAATTTTTAATGTTTTTATCGGCATTGTGCGTTAAAACGAGTTGCCTATTGTGGTACAACGGGGATACTAGCCACGACAAATTATCGATTTGCTATTTGAAAGATCCGTTGTCACAAGAGTAATATATTAACACATAAAAAAAATGTGAAAAATATTCATACCGAATGAGAGATTACACGATAGCTTCATACATCCTTACGTCTCTGTGTCCGTAATGTATACGATAACACGAATTGCCTGGATGCCGTCCATGCCAATGGAGGGGAACTAACTTATAAGAATATGTGTAGAAGGAATTGAACGTCATCAGTTAAATTTTATGAACCCTCTACTGTAGTCGCACCTACTGTATACAAGGTATGGTTGTCAAAATATAAGCAGATATATATGTAGGTTGTTCATCCAGACATACTATCAGCTACTGTATTTTATTTTAGATATTTAAAAGTTAACTTCTATTCGAATATGCCGAGCAAGATTCGGAGTCTCCTTTACATTCTCAGCATTAGTACGACAATTAGCTCGTTGCGCTACAACAGCTTTCGTGGGAATGGTAATAAGATATGGTCGTTGCGACAATTGCTTGGTTTAGCTTTTGAATTCGGGAGCTTCTTAAACGAAAATCAACAATACTTAGATCAAGAATTACCGGATGTGACACCGTGGTACGGAGACGCATATGATTTTATAGTGATCGGCGCTGGTACCGCCGGCGCCACCATAGCAGCGAGACTGAGCGAGGTTTCTCAGGCCAAAGTATTGCTAATCGAGGCTGGTTTCCACGAGACCCTCTTTATGGATATCCCGCTGTTAGCTCCCGTGCTGCAGATGAACAGCAACATCAACTGGAACTTTCATTTCAAGTCATCCAACAAGTACTGTCGTGGCATGAGGGATAACAGTTGCCCTGAGCCGAGAGGCAAAGTAGTCGGTGGCAGCAGTGTGCTGAATTTTATGGTAGCAACTAGAGGCGTCGCCGAAGACTACGATCGATGGGCTGAGATGGGGAATGAAGGCTGGGCATACCAGGATATTCTCAAGTATTTTAAGAAACTGGAAACAATAAATGTCCCAGAGCTAAGATCCGACGTTGCCTATCGTGGCACCGATGGTCCAATACATATTACTTACCCGGTTTTTCATACTCCATTAGCAGAGGCCTTCTTAGAAGCCGGCGAGGAACTAGGATATCCATTAATAGATTACAACGGGAAAGATAAAATAGGATTCTCATATGTGCAGACGACAACCTCGAACGGCACTCGCGAGAGCAGCAACAGAGCGTACTTGAAGCCTGCGCGAAATCGCAAGAATCTTCATTTGACTCTTCAGAGCACGGTGACAAAAGTGTTGATCGATCCTATCGCACGTCGAGCAATCGGCGTAGAATTCGTCAAGTATGATCAAACAATACGTGTGTTCGCGAAAAAAGAAGTTATACTATGCGCAGGTGCCATTGGATCACCGCAATTATTGATGCTCTCAGGCATTGGACCAGCGGAACAGCTTGTGGAACTAGATATAGATGTCATCCAAGATGCTCCAGTTGGCGAGAACCTCATGGATCATGTATTCTTTCCTGGATTGACGTGGACAATAAAAGCACCGATTAGCATAAATTTTGCCAATTTAAATGCTATTAAATCATATTTAACAGATTTCTTTGTAGAAAGATCTGGACCGTTAACAGTTCCGGGCGGTATTGAGGCTCTGGCTTTTGTTAACACGAAACATCCTGAAAAACATAACGATCCACCGGACGTGGAACTATTGTTTATTGGTGGTACAATTAAAGAAGAATTTGTTTTCCCAAGGTCGATACAATTGAAAGACGCAATAATTCAGAAATGGAACAAATACCATGGCACTCATGGCTGGACCATTGCGCCAATATTGTTAAAAGCAAAAAGTAGTGGTCGGATGACATTATTGGCTAATGACGTTAATGTTAAACCAGAGATCGTACCGAATTATTATGATGATCCGGACGACATCAGGACAATGATCGCTGGGATTAGAGCTGCGTTTGATGTTACTCGGACAAAGGCAATGCAGGCATTTGGTCCTCAGTTCATTAACATTACTTATACTGAATGTAACAATTACGAATATGACTCTGATGCTTACTGGGAATGCTTATTAAGGACACTATCTTCGACACTTTATCACCTTTGCGGCACTTGTAAAATGGCACCTGCTGGAGACCCGACTGCTGTTGTCGATCCCAGATTAAAGGTAAAAACATTTGGATATTCATGCAGAATATTATAATAAGCATTCATGAATTTATATGCAATACTTTGTAGGTAATTGGCATTTCCGGATTACGCGTAGCAGATGCATCTATTATCCCCGAAATGGTATCGGCGCATTTAAATATACCTGTTTACATGATCGCCGAGAAAGCTGCAGATATGATCAAGGACGAATGGGGTTACTTGCGAAAGTCATGATGTTAATAAACTTCACGAAATGCATGGGAAAATAGAAAAGTTTTCGGAATTATGTAATAAAAATGGCACTGGCACAACAGACGTTAAATAGAAAGTTCCAACCCTTCCGAACACGTGTAAAGCTACAAATTCGTTCCAGCAAATTGCTAATTTTTTTATAGAATAGATATGTTTGTAATTTTTTTAGAGTAAATAAACTCAAAGTATACGCTGGTGATCAAGTATTTTATGAAGACGGTTTTTCGGCAAAAGATATATTAATATGCAAGATAAGCCTTTAAGTAAGCTCTCCTTTATATTATATTATACTTGAACACAGTATGCACTTGATTCATCTAAAAAATGAGTAAATATACACATAAATAACAAATATTAATTTTAGAGCATAAATCTAAGAAGCGAGAACGCCAAATCATTACTTAAGTCCAGGCAAGCTGAAGGTAGCCTAATAATTTTTAAATAAATATGTAAATTTATATACCGGTTTTTTCTTATCTACGCGCCATTATTTTCGGACATATAACATAGGTTTTCATTAGCTGGAGTCGAATATATGAATAATAATCGAATAGAATACCGAATAATTTAATTATAAACCTTTGACACTTGCCAACCTGTTAAGACAAATAACTTGCTGTACTATTATAAAATAAAATTTGTTTTCAAAAAGTTTTTCTCAATCATTCTTAGGAAAGTATGTTTTTATGCACATGGTATAACATGTGCTTGCGGACCAAGAAAATTTTAATATACTGTTACATAGAAATTATTGTAATATCCATAATATCGCACTATTACAGTATAAAAACTACGTATCAAGTACTTCCAAAGTAACTTTAAAGATAAAAGAATTAGACATTTTACATTGAGGTGTATATGAATATTAGGTTCAGCTTCCGGATCTCAATCGCATAAACTTTTTATTCTTACTTTCCAATGAAACGTTGGAACTAAACATGCGGCTTAACCTCGAGTTTTGTTTAGTTTAATTTAACTAGTGATATAATTTTAAGAATATTTATAACGAATCGTACAGATTGTTAATATGGCCACACCCGAGTGAGAAATGATTCGTCGATCGGTGTCGAAATGATGTCGAATCGACGTCAATTTGACGGTATCGATGTCGATTCGACATCGTTTTGACATCGATTGACGAACCATTTCTCACTGGGACATGGATGACCATATTAGCAATAATTTTGACGAGGAAAAAACTATTTTGTATACTTATAACTGCAAATCAGTGACTATTCACCATTTTCAGTGATAATCCACCGATTGATTTTTAGAGAGCGGATGAAATTGAACGAAACTAAGTGCGATTTTTGTCATTATTCATACAATAGTTATTTTCTAAATACTTATTCTTACTTCGCAGTGTTTTACGTAGATAAAGTTGAAATCATCTAGATAAAGATCAGATAAGACATATAAAATTTTATCTTAGATAAGATATAGATTATTTATTTCTAGTTTATCTAGATAATAGATGAAATTATAAGCATTTTATCTAGATGATTTCAAGATAACATTGCTTTAAAAAGTAATTAAAGAAAAAATAAAAACAATTATATTTATAAATCTATTAAAAAAGCAGGATTATATTTAATTGGCTTGTAAAAGAATAATGTACAATTACATTTATAAAAATATTGCAATAGTTGTGCATAATGTATTGAGAAAATTTAATTTACATATCAAAAATTACAAATATTCTAACAGATAATGCTACAAATTTTAATGCTAAATCATTTAGATGCTTTAGCATCACATATGAAAATTGTGATCAAAATTGACTCACGTTAGAAGCAAATAAAGATTTGAACAGCATAGAATAGTGTGAATCAGATTCAGATATTGAAACTAATAAATTTGAAATATTAATTTCTTCAAATACTAATAATGTTGTACATGGAAATGATAATTGTTTGTATGAATTTCGGATAAACTAGGAAATGAAATTATTTACCAATGATAAATAATGGGTTAAACCTAGCCACGAAATACTGAGTTCTGCTGAATGCAACCATTATCTTAGATAATTTCAGACAGATAACGTATTTTTAAATCTAAGATAAAGATGTAGATAATACGTTTCATTCTTATCTAGATAAAGAAGAGATAAGGAAACAGCCTTATCTAGATGATCATCTAGATAATTTCAGCTAGATAACAGAAAACACTGCTTACTTGGTATTATTGTTGGATATCACGCGTGTTGTAACTAAAATGTTGTTACTCCGAAGATGTTTGTACATCTCATCGCGATATTACGTGACACCAATTACAATCATTCAAACGTCATTATTTTGCAAACGGTATTATTTTGCTCTGATGTTAAAAGATAGTATGCGATAACGTTACAAGTTATTCAACAATATCACGATAATAAACCTTGAATTGAATTGCATTGACTGATGAACTGACAAGTAAATCAAAATATGGATCAAAGAAATGCACAAGGTGACACGTTTCGTTCGAACGCGCGTATAAATTTAAACAGGCATCTGCAATAAGGTTCGATTCGATTCGGAGAAGTTCGACTTGGAAGTGTGGCCGGACTCGATACAACGTGGATTCTAATTAATCATGCATATGCATTCATACCGCCTTGGTATTTATAGAACAAGGATCTTAACATAAGTATATATAACGGGCAGTCAAACACAGATCCTTATTACTGCGCATTGCTCTTTCACCGGTCAAACAACGTCTAGACATGCTGAGCAAAGTGACGATACTTGTTCGTGTTCTTAGTTTTAGTGTCATGTTCGGCGCAATACAGTCTCAATTACAATCGCCGTCGCATTGGCATCATAGATATCACAGCAACAGTGCGAGCGGATCAAGCCCGATCACTGGGACAGTGAATTTCTTAAAGCACAATCACCTCCAAAGTGAGCAAGCATCACAAATAAATCCACACCACGGAAAAACGTTTGACTTTATAGTGATTGGTGCTGGCACAGCCGGCGCTACAATAGCAGCGAGACTGAGCGAAATTCCTCACATCAAAATATTACTGATCGAGGCCGGACCCGAAGAGAACATTTTCATGGACGTTCCTCTAATCGCTCCCGTCATGTCTCTCAACAACAATATCAATTGGAAGTACAAAACTAAGCCGTCCAATAAGTATTGTCTTGGTATGAAGGGGAACAGTTGCGCTTGGCCCGCAGGAAAAGTTTTCGGCGGGAGTAGCGTGCTAAATTTTATGATAGCTAACAGAGGCGGCGCCGAGGATTACGATGATTGGGCCGAGATGGGGAACAAGGGTTGGGCCTACGAAGACGTTCTCAAGTATTTCAAAAAGCTGGAAACAATAGATATTCCAGAATTAAAGGCGGATGTCACCTACCACAATAACGACGGACCAGTACATATCACGCATCCGTCATTTTATACACCGTTGGCGGAGGCCTTTCTAGAAGCTGGCAAGGAGTTGGGATATCCACTAGTAGATTACAACGGGAAGTACCAAATAGGATTCTCACATCTGCAGACTACGATCATGAACAACACTCGCATGAGCAGCAATAGAGCGTATTTGAAGCCCGCGCGAGATCGCAGCAATCTTTACGTAACTCCCGAGAGCACGGTGACGAAAGTGCTGATCGATTCTGACACAAATCGTGCAATCGGCGTCGAGTATACCAAGTATGATGAAAACGTCACCGTGTTCGCGAGCAAAGAGGTGATTATGTGCGCAGGTGCAGTCAAGTCCCCTCAACTGCTGATGCTCTCCGGAATTGGGCCAGCGAAACACCTTCACGAATTAGGTATAGACGTCGTTCGGGACGCGCCAGTCGGGGAGAATCTTATGGACCACCCAATGTTCTTTGGGTTGTCGTGGTCAGCAAACGTATCAACAAGTTTACAATCATTCGACCTGCTGAACCCTATTAATTCGTACCTAATGGACTTTTTAATAAAGCGAACGGGACCGTTTACGATTCCGGGTGGATGCGAGGCCGTCGGCTTCATCGACACAAAACACCGAGAAAAACGTAGCGGTCTACCTGATATCGAACTACTGTTTGGTGGTGGTACAACGAGAAATTTTATTTTTTCAAGCGTATTGAATTTTAAGGACCCGATATCTCAAGAATGGGATAAATATCATGACAGACGCGGCTGGTTTGTTGGGACAGTGTTGTTGCGACCGAAAAGTCGTGGTAGGATAACGTTATTGGCTAATAACATTAATGTTAAACCCGAAATCGTGCCAAATTATTTCGACCATCCAGACGACGTCAAGTCGATGATCGCCGGAATTAGAACTGCGTTTAACGTCGCTCAGACAAAGGCGATGCAAACGATTGATTCTCAGTTTTTAAATGTCACTTACACCGAATGTAACATTCACGAATATGACTCTGATGCTTATTGGGAATGTGCGATAAGGACATTATCTATCACGCTTTATCATTACTCTGGAACTTGCAAAATGGGGGCGAGAGGAGACCCGACTGCTGTCGTCGATCCTACATTGAAGGTATTCGCTGGAAAATTAAGTATTCGTGCATAAAGTAGTCATACTATTATATAAGTACCTGGTGTCTGTCTGTCTGTCTGTCTGACCGCGAACTCCTCCTACATTTATGGACCGATCTTCTTGCAACTGGTCTCAAAATTTTCCAAATTTTTCTGGGATTGTGACGATGGGGTTTTTTTCAAGTTTTGCTCACCCAC